AGTTTTAGAAATTTGACCTAGTGACAGTGTAGGAACAACTGTATAGTTTCAATTCAGGATGGTGTGTAGCTTGGAGGAGAAATCACAAGTGGTGGTGTTCCAATTCATCAGCTGCCATTATGTTTGTACATGGTAGAGGTTGCAGGTTTGGAAGTTGTTGGTGGGGGTGCCTTGATGAATTACTGCATCGTATCTTGTAGATAGTAGCTGCAGCCACTGTTCATCAGTAGTTAAGGGAATGAATGTTAAAGGCAGAGGATGGGGTGCCTGTCAACTTGGCTGCTTTGGCCAAGATGGTGTCAAGCTTTTTGATTGATGGAGTTGTACACAGCCAAGCAAGTGGCGAGTATTCCATCACAATCTTAACTTGTGCCTTGATCCTCAATGACATTTCAGTTAAACACCGCCTTGACATCAAAGTCCCACCTCTTGAGCTCAGATCGCTTCCCCATATTTAGACCAGGGCTGTAATAAGCTCTGTAGCTGAACTACCCTGATGAAACCAAACTGACATTAGATTATTACTGAGTAAGACTAGCTTCACAGCACTGACAATGACACTTTCCATCACAGGACATTGATGTTCCTACAATTTGCAACTTACTTTTTCATGGTCCTTAAACCACTGATATATGCACAGAAAGTAAGCGATCCATTGTTGAGCTACTGGAAACAGATTTGCAGTCATAAAATAAAGAACTAAAAATCTGAATAAAAACAAAGTGCTGGCAGAAGTCAGCATTTCTGGCAGCATCTACAGACAGAAAAACTGTCAATCATTCAACATTCTGATGAAGGGTCTCTGGGTTGAATCATTAACTCTGTTTTTCTTTCTACAGAGTTACTCCAGCAATTTCTGTTTTTGTTGCAGTTGTAATATATTGGTTGATGATTCCCTTTAGGCCTACCACTAAGCTACTTCGATTGAACTTCCCATTTTTCCTTGGATCTTACGTCCTCTCCCTTTTGAATCATTGAGTTCCTACAGTGTGGGGAAGCAGGCTATTCAGCCCTTCGAGTCCACACCGACTCACCCCCTCCCATATCCCTGTAACCCTGCATCTCCCATAGCTAACACACCTAGCCTGAAGATCCCTAGACGCTGTGAGCAATTTTGTACGACCAATCCACCTAACCTGCACACCTTTGGACTGTGGGAGGAAACCAGAGCAGCCAGAGGAAACCAACATAGACACATGGAGAATGTGCAAATGCCACAATTGCACAAGGGTGGAATTGAACCTGGGTCCCTAGCACTATGAGGCAATAATGCTCACCAATGAGCCACCATTTATTGACAGACTGCCTTGAGGAACTTTCCAAAAGGCAGTCTGTCAAAATCCACAGACTACACCAAACTCACTACCGTCTTCAGCATTCCTTGTTGCCTCTTGACAAAACAAAAAGTCAATTAAGTTTAACTATTCTTTTAAAACATAAGGATATCTATTAGATACAAAGATTACGTGACAAGTATGCCTTTTTAAAAAAAATATATTTTACACTTTAGAATTTTCCAGACATCCCATTCAAAACCAGAGCAACTATTCAAAAGCAGAGCAATTATTCAAAACTATCTTTGCAAATTTTCAAGTTAAATCATAGTATGATACTTAACGAATAAAATACACTTCTACAGGTTCTTACTCAGGTTTTCGAAGCTGCCTCAGGCCAGACGACCAGGAAGAGAAGTTAGGATCAAGTGTTCTCAAGAAGGGTCACTGAACCCGAAACTTTAACTTTGTTTTCTTGCCACAGATGCTGCCAGACCTGCTGACTTTTCTTAGCGATATCTGTTTCTGTTTAGGATCAGGGTGACTGGAATTCTGAGACGGGAGGAAAATTCATCCAAAACTCCTCACAAGACAGTGAGAAACAGGATATGTGGAAAAATAAATTTAAAATAGAAAGTAAATTTTGCCTGCTCGCATCTTGTGAGCCTACATGCAATGATTTACCTGCTGTGGGACGAGACAACATACAACCGAAAGTGATTTACTGAGACAATCCACCAATCAGGGATTAATAGGGGAAAAAAATCGATTGAGCCGGAAGGGTAGGGAACGAGAAAGGCTTCTTGTGTTAATTTCAGTTATGAGTGTCGTGTGACAGTAACCTGCCATGAAGGAGAGTGCATTCTGGCATAAGGTCGGTCACCGCCTTGTTCGGGTTTTTAAACAACCGCGACCGTTAGGACTCCCGTCCTCGCCTCTCGCTCGTACCCCCTCCTCCATCCGATAAAGACTCGCTCTGTGATTGGCTGTTTGGCTTCAGGGTGGAGTGATTCTGCGCAGGGAGAGCGGGACGCGGTGAGGAGACAGGGGGCAAAAACAAAACATGGCGGAACAAAGCGCGGCGAAGGTAACCGGTTTAGTGTGGTGACTGAGATAGCGGGTCGTGCGGGAGAGTTAGTGGACCGATCTGGACGCTGGCAAGGTTTCTCAGTGAATCCCAGTCTTATTTTCAAATGATTGTACCACCGAAGGGCTGATAGGGGTGACGGGCCGGCTCACCCCTTACCTGCTGACTGAGCATGCTCAGGTCCGGGGGTGGTTTTTTTTTCTTAAATTTCCCGCCAAAGGCTGGGGGAGGAAAACGGCAGATTTCATCCTGAGGGTCAGAATGACCTCTGTTATTAAAACGGCAGATTGTACTATGATAGTCACAGACCGAAAATAATTCTTGAACAATCTTTGAGGATGAGCTGAAAATGCCTCATCTAAAAGACAAGCAGTTTAAAGGCGAGGATAAAGAAACTGAAAGGGAAAACATAATAAGACCTAGAGAGAGGAGAAATACTTCAGAAACCTCAAGTAGTATGAGTGTAGATTGAAATTATTGGCGAGTAAAATTCAGGAGCACTCGTTGTTTTAATAAATACATAAAGAATAAAATAATAACTAAAGGGGGTAGATCTGTTGGGTATTGCTGTTACCTCCAAGAAGGGAATGTCTGTTAATGAATAACTTGGTCTGTTCTCACAAAAGGAGGGACGATGCAGACGTTTGAATCAAGAGAATTGTGAAATATTAAGTGAAAATGATAACTTAAGGGAAAGAGAGATTGAAATCAAGATTTAGAGGGGTTTAGCATCTTTGAAAGTGGATAAATCTCTGGCATTGGCTGCTAGGAGAAGATATAGTGGGGCCCTAACTTGTTCTTCAACCCTCTCAATCTGTAAGTGTGGTGTCAAGAGAGAGGACAGCAACAGGTAAAAAGATTGATTACAGGAAGCTTATTGGGGAGGGGAAATGGCACAAAATCAAGCTTAGTTTGGAAAGACATTGATTTGTTAGTGGGTGATACTGTGACAAAATGGTTGAATATTTTGAAGCAGTATCAATGACTGTCAATGAAGATAGTCCATTTTATAGAATTCCTACAGTGTAGAAGCAGGCCATTCAGCCCATCGTGTCCACATAGGCCCATCAAAGAGCATCCCACCCCTCTCCAATCTCTGTAACTTTGCATTTCCAATGGCTGGTCCACCTAATCTACACATCTCTAGACCCTGCGCAATTTAGCATGGCCAATCCACCTAACATGCACATCTTTGGACTATGGAAAGAAACCAGAACAAACCCACACAGATACGGAGAGAATGTGTAAACTCCACGCAGACGGTCACCCGAGGGTGGAATCAAATCCAGGTCCCTGGGTCCCGTGAGGCAGTAGTGCTATAAACTGAGCCACTGTGCTGCACCTCTAGTCTACGTGAATTTCAGAAAGTCTTTTAACAATAACCTGTATGGCAGATTGGACATAAAAGTAAAAGCCTATGAGATTTTAAGAAAGTAGCAAATTGGATCCAAAATGAACTCTGAAACAAAAAGTAAAGGGTATTGTTTTATGTATATTTTTGTGACAGGAAGACACTTTCCAGAGGGGTTTTGCAGGCTTAGGTATTTGAGTATTGGTGTTTTTTTTTTGTGCTTGTGTAGCAACGATTTGTGCTTAAATGGAGAGAAGCATGATAATAAGTTTGATGATGATCCAGAATTAGCTGCGTACTTGAAAATGAAGAATACTCCAGAAGGACATGAACTGGTTGAGTAGACTGAACAATGTGAAGAAGTGTGCATATGGGGGAGAAGGATGAGGCAAGGGACCATACAACAAACAGTAGCATAATGTTTCTGTAGAAATCGGAGTGCTTTGCAGTGTAAGTTTATATTCTTGAAGCTGACTGGGCTGGTAGATATAGAGTCACGTAGATGTTTAGTGATTCTTGCCTTTGTTAGCTGAGACATCCACTACACAAGCAAGAAGGTCATGCTGGAACTGTATATTTGAAAAAAAATCTGATTACATCACAGCTGAGTAATTGGCACAAGTCTAGTCACGAACATTGGAAAAGATTACACTAAAATAGAGAGAGGAAATTTCTGAAGGTGTTGCCTGGACTGGAGTATTTACTTCATGAGGCAAAATTGGATAGGCAGAGTTATTTTCCTTTGAATGGAGGAAACCTAGTTGAAATGTATATAATTGAGGGGCCTAAATAGAGTGAAAAATATGGTCCAATTTCCTTTGGTTGAGGGATTCATAAGCAAAGGCACAGCTTTGAGTGGAAGGTTTAAAAGGGATGTGAGAGTTTTTCTTTTAATCAGGAAGACGGTGGGGATCTGGAATTCACTGCCTTGAAGGGTGGTGGAAGCATTAAACACTCAATGTTTAAAGTGTGCTTTGAAATCCCATTTGGAAATATTGTATCCTACAAGGTTATGGATCAAGCATCACAAAGTGGTATCAGGTTAGATGGTTCCTTGTTGGCACAAAGATGTGCAGTAAATTTGTATGATTTGTGCAGCAGTCCCTCAGTGATTTACTGAAATGTCAATCTGTATCATTTAAAGTCCTCCGTGATATTTGATTTAGTATATTTCTTTCCCCAGGGCTTAATTTGTGTAAACTGTGAAATTCAATAATTGAAATGCCTCAATTAATTGTATTAACGGTCTTTGTTTATTTCCTCCTCTTCCCCCAATGCCTCCAAAAAGAATATGATCCTGGGATTTAGGGTCTCTGAGCTTCAGGTACTCTTGGGGTTTGCAGGACGCAACAAAAGTGGGCTGAAACATGAATTGGTCTCCCGTGCATTACAGTTGGTAAGGAACAACTGTTCCTCGGAGATACTAAAGAAGATCCAAGACTTGCATGCTCATCGCTACAGTACAAGGTCCTCAAATGCACAGTGTCAGCAACTTCCGCCTGCTCCAACATTTCCTCTGCATTCTTCAGAGGCAGCCTTGAATGCCAGAACGTCTGTTCCAATTTGTCACACTGGAAAAGCTGATACAAAATCTAAAGTGAGATTAACAAAATTGCCTTTCTACGAAATACTAGATGATCTGATGAAACCTACAGATCTAGGTAGGATTAATACCTTTATTAGTTTATGAATGGGGCAAAAGCACCACTTGCCTTTGCCTGGGTTATATGGGAAATGAAGTATGATTGTCATTATTCAAAGTTAATTTTCTTTTCACATGAATGATATATGCTTTGTCATGTTCAATTCAAATCCTCTTAATTTTTTTCAAGTTATTTCTCTGTGAGTTCATTGAAACAGTGATTTAAGTTCTTGCATTATAATAGTTGTGTGATTATACGTTTTTTTTCTCCTTTCTGAATACAGTGGCTATTGTCAAAATTCTGCAATTACTAGACTGCTTTGCCATTTGTGAGAGTAGAGATAGTTGTAAATTAGGTGACCAGTGAGCCCATAAATAGTTATTCCCAAATAGGGGTCACTTCAAGTGGTAGTCTTCAATGAACACCCTGCTTATCTTCCCTTCACCCCTATTCAGTCAGTTGTTTGCAGACTATTGCCTCTTGGCCTGTACTTTATCTGAATAAAGTCCAGTTTTGATTCTCTGATATGTCATTTGGAGACCTAATATGCACTTGAAGATATATGATCGTTTTTGTAGAATTTTACAGTATACTAAAATATTAACTCCTCATTAACTTCGTGATTCTATTTGAAAATCAATATGACATTAGGAGCAAAGCTTTCTAAGTTTAGGAAGGTCATGTCTTCAATTAATTAATGAGAAAGGAGTATATCCTGATTTCGAGACAACAAGGTGCAGGGCTGGATGAACACAGCAGGCCAAGCAGCATCATAGGAGCAGAAAGGCTGACGTTTCGGGCCTAGACCCTACATCCCCTGATTTCCCCTGGTTTACTTTATCTTCCTCTGATCAGGAACAAAACTTTGTTTCAGGACTGAGTTTTCAATTTCCAGTGTCTACATTGGAAGGAGCAATTAAATCTTTGACTCCCAGTGACTACTGGTTTTTAATATTTCCACTTAATGCACTATGATCCTGTAATCACCTGAATGCCATGATGTTGGACTTTTTATTTATTCATTTGTTGGATGTGAGTGCTGGCTAGTCAGCATTTATTACCCATCCCTAGTTGCCCTTGAGAAGGTGGTGGTGAGCTGCCTTCTTAAACTGCTGCAGTCCACCTGCTGTGGGTTGACCCACAATGCCACGAGGGAGGGAATTCCAGGATTTTGACCCAGCAACAGTGAAGGAATGGCAATCTATTTCCAAGTCAGGATAGTGAGTGGCTTGGAAGGGAACTTGGTGGTGGTGTTCCCATATATTTGCTGCGCTTGTCCTTCTAGATGGATGTGGCTGTGCGCTTGGAACGTGCTGTCTGAGGATCTTCGGTGAATTTCTGCAGTGCACCATGTATGACCGTACATACTACTGCTACTGAGTGTTGGTGGTGGAGGGAGTGGATGCTTTTGGATCTAGTGTCAATCAAGCGGGCTGCATTGTCCTGGATGGTGTCAAGCTTCATAAATGTTGTTGGGGCTGCAGTCATCCAGGCTAGTGAGGAGTATTCCATCACACTCCTAACTTGCGCCTTGTAGATGGTTGACAGGCTCTCAGGAGTCAGGAGGTGAGTTACTTGCCACAGTATTACTAGCCTCTGACCTGCTTTTGTAGTCACTGTGTTTATGTGGTGAGTCCAGTTGAGTTTCTGTTCAATGATAACCCTCAGGATGTTGATAGTGGGGGATTCAGTGATGGTTACACCATTGAATGTCAAGGGGCTGTGGTTAGACTGTCTCTTGAACTTTATACCTACAAGGACAGCAAACAAATGGGAATGCTACTGTCTCCTAAATTTTCTTCTAAGTTTCTCACTGTCCTGGCTTGGAAATGTATTTCAGTTCCCTCAATGCTGAGACAGAATCTTATCAAGTGGCATGGTGGGAGTAACTTCATCACACAGCCTGCAGCAGTTCAAGAAGGCAGTTCACCTGCAGTTTCTGATGGGCAACTAGGTTTGGGTAAATGTACACTTTGCCAGTGATGCCTGTGTTCTGTGAAAGAATAAGTAACATTTTTAGAAAGTTGAGAAATTCTTCTGCCAAGAAAATGGCTCCATGGTAACACTGTTAACTGCGTACTGAAAGCATGAACTGTACACAAGCAGCAAATCTGAATTCAGTTAATTGTCTTTTGCTGTGTTTCCAACATTTTCTGTTTCTGTTCAAGATTCAGATGTTTAAATAAAAGCAAAATACTGATGCTGGAAATCTGAAACAAAAACGAAGTGCTGGAGAAACATAGCAGGTCCAGCGGCATCTGTGAAGAGAGAAACAGTTAAACGTTTTGAGTGCAATATGTTTGTTCTGAAGAAGCATCCTATTGGACTTGAAATATTAACTCTTGTTTCTCTCTGCATAAATGCTGCCAAACTGGATTTTCTCCAGCATTTTCTTCTCATAAGTTTGAGTTTTATTTTATCAAACTCCGTGAAATCATCCCTAGTTTATTCTCCGTCTTGTCTCTGGTAGCAACTGCAAATAAATTGAATATCTTGAATGCAGATTCCAATCAAATATTACTGTGAAATGCATACTGTGATCCCACATGCATCAAAAGTTGACAGTTACACTTGTGTTTCTTTTTCATTACTTGTTTGCTCAGCAAAAAGTCTGAGAGGAGATTACAGTGCAAGCAACATATTAACTATTTGTAACACAACTAGAATGACCCTGAATGGCCATGAATCCAAAGTATCTTAATTTCAAATTCATATGTGCACCTAAGATGCCAAAGTGAATGTTGCAGTCATTTACATTTGTGAACACGCTGCAACAGCTTGAAATTGCCTCCATTTCAATTAAATGATAAAGATGACAAATATGAGAGGATTTGAACTCTCATTACGTGTATAATCTTGATTTTTTTTTGTAGTGTGGAACTGCTAATTCTATAAATATCGAGCCTTGCAGCTAGAATCTACATAGCATTGTAAAACTTAGACTGCCATGATGGAACATCTGGATCATTTTTTGTATATGTAAGAGGCAAGCAGTTGCTCATTGCTGTATATCTGTGGAGTTTTATAAGTTGTCAAAGATAATTTAAACTAACTTTTCTATAATAGCACCAATGTCAAATACACTTGGCAAGTGAGGCAGCTTCTTTTTCATCAGAGTAAATATTCTTTGTCCCATATCAAACTGAAATGCTTAGGGTGGATATTTGTAATATATTTGGGTGGATTTGAGCAGTTTCTTGGCTCGATAAGTTCACTTAATGGAAAAGGTCATTAATTTGAACAAGTTGTGCATATTCATGATCATCCATCCTTAACCTCGCAATTCCTTTTGAATCTAGTACTTCACAAAGGATGCCTGGAGCATTCCTATTTTTACTTAGATTGTCTGGACTCGCTAGTTGAACTATGAAACAGTATTGCTTTGAACAGAATTTGAAGCACAAATCTGGTCTAACCTAATTGGTCTTTGTTCATGCTCCTTCTCTCCTCATCATCTAACCCTATTGCAGTACATCAGTATTTGTAACTGATCACTTGTTTTATCACTGGAAGTAAAACATACAATATCTCCATGTTTGGACTGAAATTGCACAGAAATTCAATTTGAGAAGGTTTTCTCAGAGCCATTCAGATGTTAACTAGATAGCCATTGTATCATTGGTAAATGGAGACCATATATATGTTGTTAGCCTTGAAAAGAAAGAAGTAAATGACCTTTAATTGTGATTAAATTTTCAAAAGTCAGAGTAATTGACAGCAGCTTTTCATAAGTTTGTCATCATCAGCTGCTGAATACTTTTGGGATGTTCAATCATGTTGCTCAAATTAAAAAAACAAAAACCTGTTTAGAATGATTTAATCTGATGTATTATAGGTTGACAACATGTTTGATTCTGGCTCCCAAGTGTCTCAATCAGTCTGCTGTGGGGAGAAAGGTGCCTTTGGGCGGTACAGCATGCACATTTCCATTTTAGACAGTTTAATTTCACTTTGAAAGTCCTTTTTTAAATTTTTTTTTTTTAAAACCTCAATTTTGGTGTGGAAAGGGAGTGAAAATGTGTGCAACTATAATGCCAAAATGTTGAATCTTGGAAGTAAAATCATGACCAGGGTTAAATTGTGCTTGGCTTCTCCCAGCTGATTTGATTTTGTTTTTGGGCAGTAGAAATAAGATCAAAGTTCTTGTATTAAAATAGCATCACATTTCACTTTGCTGGTATGAATAAAAAGACATGTTTTCCTCTCAGCTGACCTGATGGCTTTTCTCCACAGTTTTCTCTATAAAAGATATCTTCACCCTATAAATATTGCAGCATCCCAGAAACACAACTAATGGCATTTCCTAAAATTCAGTGTCAGCTACCCAAGGGCTTACGGTACTATAAGCATATTCCCCAGTAGTTCAGAGCAATATAAAAACTTTATTAGTAAGTAAACAATAAAAACACTTATGGAGCTTTGCAGACCTCCAGTTTCATGGCTAAATATATTTGAAAAAATTATTTAATGTTTCTTGATTCAGTGTGGGCTCGTTTCCCAGGTTTTTAATTTGTTTATTCAAGCTATTAATCTCTTTTAAATAGTTTTCTTTCTTGTGTGTGGAGAAAGAAATAAAATAAGTTAGAACTTATTTAACCAGGCCCCATTCTTCCTCCTTTTGTATCCATCAACAGAATCATAAGTTGAAGCAGAAAATTCTGGAAATATTCAGCTGGTCTGGTAGTATCTGTGAGGAGAGAAACTTTTGAAGTTTTAGACGGAAAGCCTTTTCATTGGAGCTGTAAAAAAAGAACATTTAGGCCGTAACAGCTTTTTAAGCAAGCACAGGGAGGACGAGAAAATAAACAGGGTGGCCTATGTTAAATTAAGCAACAGATTTAAATAACAAGGTCATCAGGTGCTAGACAAAAGGAGTTGGTAATGGATGAGTAAAGAAACAAGATGTGTCTAGAGGATGTGTAAGTGTGAAAAGCAGAAATATCACCATTGGTGATTCAAACAATGGCAGCAGTTATGATAGAAAATTGTTGGATTCAATGTTGAGTCTGGAAAACTGA